AGATTTTCCGGTGGTTCCCCTTTGAAACCAACCAAAAGGGACATGAGTTGATGGGCTCGCTTACCTCTTTGTTGGCGCCGGGGGACACTGCCCCCCTCCCCCCCGGAATCAAGGCTGCCTGGGATTGACTTAGTTTTTAGTGTTGGGGGGAGATTACAAACAAACCCAGTGGATTCCGTTACCCCTACCATTGGTAACCAGCGGAACCTTCATTTAAAGCCTGGCGGTAAAAGTCCAGGTTGGAAAGGAACCCCGCAGCACAAACCACGCATTCACATCAGACCGGTACCTTCCCCATGCTTTCCAGGGATCTTTCTTTCTAGAAAACCTCCGGAAACCGCGGGAAAGCGACCGGTTATTGGAAAGAACGATGCTTGAAAAGATACAAGCGATTTCCGGTGCCCTTTCGAACCTCTTCTCTCACCGGTTTTGGGGGTTGTCAGCGAGGCAGAGTGCAGTTCCCTGCTGAAATCTCAGGGTGCACTGCGACTGAGAGCTCTTGCCAGGCTCCGAGGTTGTTGGTGCTTTTGTCTTTCAAGCGGGAAAAACAAGAAAAACAACACACTGGTTATTCTTCTTATTTTTTTGTGTTTTCTCCGGGGAGAAACAAACAAACAAAAAAAACAAGCAACAAGAAAACACACAAGGCCTATGTTTTTTCTCGGTCTAAAGTGGGGCCCTCCTCTGGAACGGCAGTCCCTTTGTTGGTGGAACGGCAACGGATTCGAAAGACTGTGCTTGTTTTCGTTTGTGTGTGTGCGCATCTCTTGGCAAGCAATTGTAAATCGGGCGTGGCAGACTGCCCTTTTCGAAAGGGCCCAAACACATTACACTGAAGCTTTCTGTGATCTTAGTTTGCAGCATGCCTCCATGCACTCGGGATGGAGTTTGTATCATGTTGGCAGTGAGGCAGCGCACGTACACTGATCAACTTGCAATGAAGCAAGCATGAAAGATCCATCACGGCTGGCTTGCCCTTGTGAATGTTTGATTTGATTCCCGACGTGGAATCTTGTTCTATCACTTGCAACATCACCCTGGGCGAGCCCTGCATACCCATGAACTTGGCTGAGTTCTTCAGTAGTGGGACCCACCTAGATTCCCCAAAACTAGATTCCCTTCTTCAGTTTTGGGGGATGTGACCCACCTAGATCTTCAGTAGTGGACAATTTGAGCCACATCCCCCAAAACGAGATAGATTATATTTTGCTGGGCGCCGGGTTCAAAGGCAGAGGCTGGGGTTGATTCAACCAGCCACTTGAAAAGCGCGAGGTGTGTTCTATGTAGTGGGAAAATCAACGGAATCATGCGCAATATTTATGCATCTGGGTCTGTCTTGTTTTGAGGGTACCCATTTCCTGTAGTTTTAAAAGAACACCACAAATCATATTCACCATTTTTGGGGATGACCTCAAAACAGAGGCTCATATGTTGCTGTTGGACATCTAGCATAGAGATATCAGACAATGTGTCTTGTTAGTTCTCTTGAAATGCATGCGCTGTTGCATTAGTGAATGGCAACTTGGCCTGAGCGGAGTTTGCTCAACCTCAGAGCCTCTTGAACGAGTTGAAGGCACGAGACAGAGATGGCACGCGATGCCTGAGCATTTGACAGATGATATATGTTGGTATTCGTCCTTCAAGAACCCTTGAAGCAAACATGACGGGTTCGGAGGACAGCGGTTGGTGCCAACACAGGTTCCGAGCACTTGTTTCTGGTTTAAGGGTTGATTCCCCATTCTGTTCACCCTCGTTCTTTTGAGAAACCAGCCATTTTCTCTGAGCGTAAATCCTATCTGAGCAGAAGGATCCTTGAAGAGAGCGAGGAAGATACGGCTAGAACCATGAAAACAGAGCACCTTCCCTTTAAACATGGAAGCAACGGAGGCAACAAACAAACTTATCACAGGCATCCACAGATCCGACCTGAACCACCATGCCACTCTGCTCCTGCCTTTTTGCTCGTCGGCTTCAGATCGATCGGTGAGCCCGGTCCAATTGCGACCGGAGTGCACCCCGCAAGGAAATGGCGCCTAGGTCTTGTTCTCTTAGGTCTTCCTGGCTGAGAAGGGAGGAGGCAAGGTGCTGTTTTGGCAGACATGTTGATATTCATATTTCGGTATCATCAAGTGTCAAGCAAGCACCGTATGTCAACAAGCTCGGCATCATACCAACAATTGATTCTACCAGGTGTGGCCGATATGCATGTTACGATTGTTAATCTTTCTCCACTATCAACAGATATCAACTTAAGCTGCTCCGATCGTTTACCTATGTTTTTCACGCTCACGGCATGATTAGCGACCATGAGCTCTCAAGCCGCTTTTTGGGGTTGGGGTGGGTGAATGGGTGGGGCGGGTGGGTGGGTGGGTGGGTGTTTTCAAGCATGTTGACTTTGCGTCAGCCAACGCAGACACACATGCAGACAGACACACAGCACGCGCACGCAGGGCGTGCGTGCCGGAAACTCTGTACACACACCGTCCTTGCGCACGCTGCAGGCGTCTTTTCTCGCGCACACAGACTGACCACACAAAGTCACGCAGACGGACATACACCTGTGCGCAATGACATTTGAGCTGACTGTGGCGCTTGGGCATCATGCCCACAGGTCTGTTGTGTGTCCAGGTTGCCTTGTCAGAGCCACCAGAACCCAACGATTGTTATGGTCAACTTGCTTTGGCGTTCGAGCCACCAGAACCCAGCTGTTCTTGCGTCAGCTTGCAGTGGCTTGAGTCGATAGACATGTTCAACTGACGAACAAGAAGCTCAGACAGGCGTAGTCTTCAACTTGTGTAGACAGAAGAGCCGCTCAAACAGGCAAGAACGCAGCCGAAAAAATTGGCTAAGCGTGGCAGCAAGGCAGAAAATAGGATAACAGTTCTGCAAAATACAGCACGTGAGACAATGCCTCAATTTGCACTCTTGAAATTGCACTGGTAATTGCCATTTGTTTGGCTTTGACCGATGCTATGCTGGCGTTGCCTGGAATTGAAATCAATGACATACAAGTGCTGTCACAGTGCTGTGGCGAATCCTCTCCACGACATCAGTGAGGGCACCTCCCATCTTTTCAGATGCCTAGAGTACTTGGGCTACATGGCAGTGCCGGCGACGTCGCGACGTCTGCCAGGAGGCCGCAAAGGCCAGTGATCTGCATCAATTGGAGCCCAAAAAGTGGTCTCCGCACACGCGCCCAGATTCCTTGAAGCTCGGAAAAGAGATGCGCCCGGCTCTGGCGTGTTTGTTTTGTTGGGGGAGGGGGAGGAACTTGTCAGAGGGCGGATGAGTTGTTCTGTGTTTTGCGTTTTGTGAAACTTGTCACCAGGAGGGCAGACACGTCATTTTCATGTCCCCCACAAAATGGTTGTAGTTGCCTCGTAGCTTTTCTTTGGATATGGATCAAACAGCAAACGGCGGCTCCTATGCAGTTTTGAGAGAGACCCTTACAGACCATGTCGAAATGAGCTTCGGGGCCGGGGCGATGCGTTAAAGGGCGCACAAAGCACGACGTTCGATGGTCATTTTGGGCAAGCAGGGGAGCCCGTGGCTTTTCAAACTTGGGACCAATTCCTGCACCGAGGAACCTGTTTAGTGATCCGGTTGGATGTGAAACCTTCACAAGGGATATGTTCCAATGGGGAAGCAACTTGGGAACCCTTGCTCCATGCCGGCTGTTGCTTCATGAGCCCAGAGATCACTATATTTTCCCCGGTGGGTGTGCTTAAACATCACCCTTTTTGGTCAGCTTGAGTTTCCTTGTCATAGGTCTCCTTTTCAAGTTTGTTTGTTTCAACATAGATGGCACTGGTGTCCCTTTGGTTCCTTTAGCATTTCCCGGCGGACATCGATTTTTGAACACGAGAACACCTATGTTCCTTGTGGGGTTATGTTTTACGAGCATGGAGCATGGAGTGAGTCCCTTCGGATGATCTGAGGCCAGGAAGATTCACTCCCACCGAAAAGTAATGGGCGAGGTTCTGAGCCTTTTGAGGCTGGATACACTTCTTCCCTGAGTTTCTGGGCAGTACCATAGGCGTCCTTCCTTAGGTTAGTTTGGTTGAAAATAGATGGCACTGGTTTAGATGGAATTTTTCATTTGCCAGGGCCATCTATTTTTCCGAAATGCCACCTATGGGCAGTACACTCTTCGGGAAGGCCGTTTGAGTGGCAGGCAAACAGTTTGGACGAAGTGTGAAGTGAGTACATGTGCACACAGGTGGCCATGGCATACTGGTATGGTCTCTGTCTAGGATGATGCTGGGCAGCAACTTCACGTCAATTGCAGCACTGAGTCCAGCAACTGGATTTGTCACATGGCCAACTCTCAAATTTGGGTCTGTGTTTTCTGAGGGTACCCCTTCTTTTTGGTGGTTGTGAAGGCAACTCATTTGAGCAATACCAAACCATTTTGGGAATCCATGGTCCGACCCAGTGCTGCCATGGAGAGTCTCGATCCAAGCTGAGGTCAAAGCACTGGTTTCCTGGGTTGCGGATGAATCCGCTTCCATTTGCTTAAGCCTAGGTTGCAGTGGAAGGGTTGAGCCTCGAGCCTACCCTCAGCCAAGTGGGCTTTGCGAGTGTTGGTTGGAAGGATAAGGGTTAAGCCGTACGGCGTTTTGTTGAGGAAGGAGCTGGCCACTCCTTTTGTGGGACCGGTCATGTATTGGGTACAGCGTGCATTCCAGAAAGAAAGCAAAAAGGGCTCGGATTGTGCTGCTGTTTCCAGACCTCTTCAACGCCCGTTGGTGACAAAGGGTGAGATCCTCAAATCGCCACAAATATTTTAAAGACACTTTGTACCATCCCCACGCCAACATTGCAATGAGTGCGGATAGTGAAAGCAACGTTTGTATGCGTGCACTGTTACAATGTATACAGTTTATACACGTGTCCATAGATATATACACATCACTTGATACATTGATGTAGTAGTACCTGTTGTGATTTGGGAGCGGAGCCACTAAACGACTGGGATTCGCTGATCACTCTGGCTTTGCAGCGAAGTGCCGGCTCCAGCGACCGGCAAACAACGCCCCTGGCACTCGCGTGGCATCAGGCACGCGATGTGTTGGCGTCAAATTGGCCTCTGGGCTGTGACAGTTTGGGGTGTTTTTTTTGTTTTGTCGTTGTTGTGAGTTTGTCCAACCATGGTGTTGTTTGTTGGTGGTTTTGCTTTGGCTGGTTGGCGTGTTGTGATTTGCTTTTGGGTTATGTTTTTTTTTTGCAGTTCCGTTTTGCTTACTTGCTTCCACAGAAAGCAATCGTTGGTTTGTACGCGTACGTGTGTGGACGTGGGAATTTGAGAGGGGCGATGTAATTACAATCATGTTGCCTTTGCTCCTGACTTGGTGTGGTTTTGAAAGCACCCCACGCTCGCATTGTGATTATTCAGGCCCTTGGTTTGACCATGTTGGACCCTGGTTCATAGGGCAGTAAGCTAGGGCTTCATACGAGGACGCCATAGGACACCTCTTTTTTCAGGGCAGATAGGACCGCAGCCACCCCACAAAGGGAAGATTACTTTCTCGGGGTTCCTGCATTTCAGCTTGGCGAATTGGTATACTTGCACGCTTACCCCAAGGCCACAAGAGCCCGGAGTTTCTTACACATGAAAATTGATCGATAGTGCCCGCAGATGTGGCGCTGGACTTTTTCAGGTCTGTCCCGCACCACCCCCCCCCCCCCTCACCCTCTTGAAAAGGGGGGGGGGGTCCACCACCACCCCCCCCCCCCCCCACGCAGCAACCCCCCCTCCCTCACCTCTTAAGGGGGGGGGGTCCACCACCACCCCCCCCCCCCCGCACAGCAAGCCCCCCCCCCCTCAGGGGGGGGGTCCACCACCACCCCCCCCCCCTGCACAGCAAGGGGTGGGGTTTGCACCACCCCCCTTTGGGGGGGGGGGGTACCACCACCCCCCCCCCACCTTGAGCAGCTGTGCAGCTAAATCTTGGTGCCACATGTGAGCAGGGGTGCAACTAAATCTTGCTACAAAAAATCTTCAAAAGTGGCGGGCAGCCCCCCTATGATGTTTCAAGGGTGAAGGTGTGATGATTCAAAGAGGGCGGGCGGATGTTCGAAGTGATGATTCGAGTAGAGGCGCAGTTAAAGCTTGTTGCAAAATGTACTAAGTAGCGGGGGGGTTGGGGGGGGCGGCAGCCCCCCCCATGATGCTCGAAGAAGAGCTTGTTGCCAAATGTCCTAAGTAGCGGGGGGGTTGGGGGGGCCGCCCCCCCCATGATGCTCGAAGAAGTGATGATTCAAATAGGCGTGCAATGCAACCTAGGTGGAACATCAAGGAGTGATGATTCAAAGAGGGCGGGCGGATGTTCGAAGTGATGATTCGAGTAAAAATCTTCAAAAGTGGCGGGCAGCCCCCCTATGATGTTTCAAGGGTGAAGGTGTGATGATTCAAAGAGGGCGGGCGGATGTTCGAAGTGATGATTCGAGTAGAGGCGCAGTTAAAGCTTGTTGCAAAATGTACTAAGTAGCGGGGGGGTTGGGGGGGGGCGGGAGCCCCCCCATGATGCTCGAAGAAGAGCTTGTTGCCAAATGTCCTAAGTAGCGGGGGGGTTGGGGGGGCCGCCCCCCCCATGATGCTCGAAGAAGTGATGATTCAAATAGGCGTGCAATGCAACCTAGGTGGAACATCAAGGAGTGATGATTCAAAGAGGGCGGGCGGATGTTCGAAGTGATGATTCGAGTAGGGGCGCATCTAAATCTGGGTGCCAAATGTACCAAGTAGCGGGGAGCTGCGGTCAATCCCTGCAACAAATCTAAAAAAGCAGCCGGGGGGGATTCAAAGAGGGCTGGCGGATGTTCGAAGTGATGATTCGAGTAGAGGCGCAGTTAAAGCTTGTTGCCAAGTGTACTCAGTAGCGGCGGGGTTGGGGGGGGCGGCAGCCCCCCCCCATGATGCTCGAAGAAGAGCTTGTTGCCAAATGTACTAAGTAGCGGGGGGGTTGGGGGGGGCGGCAGGCCCCCCCAGGATGCTCGAAGAAGCGATGATTCAAATAGGCAATGCAAATTCTTTTTTTCAAGGGTGAAGGTGTGATGATTCAAAGAGGGCGGGCGGATGTTCGGAGAAATGATTCGAGCAGGGGCGCAGCTAAATCTTGTTGCCAAATGTACCAAGTAGCGGGGGGCTCGAAGAAGAGCTTGTTGCCAAATGTACTAAGTAGCTAGCAGCAGTCGTTTTGGGTGGTCCACAGTCTTCTTCTCAGGCAAGCCCGAAAAGTGGTGACGGAAATGGAAATGGAGGGGGTGGTGGTGGTGGTTGCGTGGGTAGTGGTTGTGGGGGGGGGGTGGTGGTGGTGGTGATCATAGTTGGGCGGGGGGGGGGTGGTGGTTCTAGCGAGGGAAAAGATGGTGGGGGGGGGGGGTGGTGGTTCTAGCAAAGGAAGATGTGGCGGGGGAAAAGATGTGCAGGGGGGGGGGGGTGGTGGGGCGGCGAAGGGGGTGAGTCAAAGGCAAGAAGGGGGGGGGGGTGGTGGTGGTGACTGGAAGCAACGCAGCGAGAGGGGGGGGGGGGTGGTGGTGCTGACGCCTGACCTTCGTGGTGATCAGGCCTGAAAAACAGGAACTCTCAATTGATCAATATGTTCCCTTCCTTCGGCCCCCAGTTTTGACCACTGGCAGCTTGTGCCATGTGTTTGACATATCATCTTGTTTGGTCGTTTTCCAGGCAATCCTATGTTTTTGTGGACCTTTTGATCAACCCCCACATGAGCCACTGGTGACAGTTTAGAGCGATCGGCCATAGCCAAGGGTCTGGCGATTTTTATGTGGATGATGGTGACTTTCTATGGCGTCCATTTGCTTAACAACATGTCTTTATGTACTGGACACTTGTTTCTTCCAGGGGGCTTAAGCAAATGCGGGGATTCTTTTTTGTCAACAGGATGGCGACTTCTATGGTGATGCCCTCATTCTAGTTCTGTGAAGCGGCCAGCCGGGGGCTACTTTAGGATGACGACTAAAGAAGTGATTGGCGATCCTTGTTGTGGCTTATTCAATTTCAAGTGCGTTTCTGTTGCATGCCATTCACTTTACGCGGACAGTGCGTGCCACCAAGTCTAAGTAACTTGTGACTGTTGGCGGAGGATAAACCACAGGCAAAGAATAAGTTGAACTTTGAGTTTCGGGTTTTTTGGCCCTGCGGAACCCATGCATCTGAACCCAGGCAAAAGCGGATGGCCCACATTTTTGTTTGCAATCAAGGGAGTTTCCATGCATCTGAAACCCAGGCTTTTGAAACGTGGTGGCAACGGGGTTATCTAAGGTCCGCGTGTTGTTTTTAGCATCACCGCTTGGTTGCCAATTTTAAAGTTTCCGTTTGGGATGGCCCCTTTGGGTCAGATTGGAGGGTTTGGTTGGAATCGTTGTCCACATGTAGTCTGTTTTAGGGGACCTCCCCCCCCGAAAATGGCGGTTTTCCTTTCAACCAACCACCATTTTAGAGGCAAACAATCAGATTGGTTACTTTTTTCGGGTCCGCTCGATCGGAAGTGAGCGAGAAGCCAGCTGTTCTGTGTTTTCTTTTTTTGAGAACTCCACCCATTTTGTCAGTTCACCTGGGTTCCTAGCCGCTCGTCAGGCCGATGGCCGAAGCTGATGTCACCGCCGTGTCCGGCCTCTGCGTAGATGAAAAGGCCGCCGAGAAAAACTACGTGCGGAGAAGGGGCCGGTGGCCCTTGCCCAAGCCTTGCGTCAAGCCTCAAAACAAGGACCTCGCGTTTGTGGTTTTCCGTGTTTTTCTCGACGTGTTATTGCCAAGATGAAGCCCACCTTTGAAACTGTTTGGAGGGATCCAGCTTCTTTTCAGGCATTGCCTGAAAAGAAGTTGCCAGATATGCTCAAAGCACCTTTCGTCGTGTATGGATTGTCAACCCGTATGTAATTGTTCAAAACTCAGAACCAATGCAAGGGTTCCCTTTTAAACAACGAGCATTGCCCGCGCACGGAGCATTGTCCCTTGATGTTTGCTCAGCGTTGAAAATAGCTGGCCCCGGTTTCGGTTACTAATTATTCACCGGTGGAACCCATTTGTCGGTTCAAAAGGACACCTACATGTTGGGTTGACGGGGGGTGTTTGCCCGGACTTTTCATGCTGCCCCGCGCATGCCGATCCTGAGCGTGTTCGCAGCCGTCAAGGGGGGGGGGGATGGAACGAACACGGGTCCATGTTTCCAGCATGTCGAGGCCAACCTGTGTTTCAAACTAGTCGATCCCGACCCACCCCACACGCCATGTGACTTCTTCGCTATATGCGCGCTCGCGGTCCCCTTTGCTTGTTTGACACGCTGCCACTTTGCCGCAGGTGGTTTTAGACACCTGGTGTCTAAGAGGGCTTGGGGTCTTCTTGCGTTTGAAGGAACTACCTTCCCAAGTGCTGGTCTTTGTCTCCGCTGCGCTCCCAGTACCGAGCAGGAACGGAAGTTCTGTCGATTCGGTAGTTTTTTTTTGTCTGGGTTCGTCTTTTTAAGCTATTAGTCTCGTTGCGGGGCTACTCCAGATTTTGTCGGTCTACACGGATTTTAGATCTGTTTCCATGGCTTCGAGATTCGGCCGTTTTTAGTCTAATCTAATCTATTGGGCAGCAAGTTATCAGCGCAGCTCATGACTTGTCTGCTTCGCGTATGCAAGGCAGCCCGGCCTGGACAGCTGCATGAAAGTGTTGGTGGCATTCTGAAGGTCTCTCACTAAGAGAGTCAAGCCACAGTCCTGGAGCCTGCTTCGAGCAAATGCGAATGCTGCGCCTGCCAGCACCGCGCATTCGAATCTCAGATTCGAATACGCGAAGTTTGACATGTGCAGACTTTCCTGTGACCCCACCGAAGCCACGTTTCACTGCTAGGATTTGCACAATTCCCAACCTACGTCCAAGAGTGACCGTCATTCGGTCGGGTCCTTTGGATCGGTTAGCTTAGTAGATGAGGTCTGCTTTAGATTGGTTTTATGAACCGTTTACCAGACCCATCGACTTGTCCAAACGGGCACTGGAGTCGAAGCGTTTTGAGCCCCTCCCCCCCCAACATCCCCAGGGGAAGATGACCATCACCGCAGCGGAGCCGAACTATTCCGACATGCTGGAAGCTCGGAGCGAGATTGGGGTGTGTCTCTCTTTTGTGTTTTTAGGGACCCCCCTCCCTCAACAAGCATGTGGTTGTCCCTTTAACACCCCCCCAAAAAAAAATAAGGGGGGAGTACGTGGAAACAAGCAGGACGACTCCTGTCCAAAGGTGGTGCAAGACCTGCATTCTGCAGCGCGATGGCACCAAGATGTTTGCAGTGCAGACGCGTGTTCCGCCGGCTCCTGCAGCTTCAGTGGAGCTCGGCCCCTACCTAGGCGCTTACTCGTAGATTCGACAACACAAGACAAAAACACCGTTACGTACAAGAACATCCACAAGACACGCCGGCCGAAATGACCATGGGTTGAAATATCATGTTTTCGTGGTTTTCCCACCAAGGGTCATCCCATGAGGACCTTTTGATCAATTCCATGCCTAGCTTTGCGAAGTCCTGATTCGCCTTGGCTTCTTGATGAAGATAGAAAGCTGATGGTCGATTTGTTCAGCTTTCCGACTCACAGATCGCCGGAAGCGATTGCTCAGGATGCATATGCAGCGCGCGAGTATGACCTGAGTCCTGATGGATGGGAAGAGTAGCTCAACTCGTTCCCTCCCTCTTTCTGCCCTCCCTGGCTTTTGTTGGTGGCTTGATTCAATATAGCCGGCGCCTTCAGCAAAAGCGGAAAAAGGCTTCCAACAGTTGCGGATCAAGAAGCGCAAACGCACCCGCCCCATACCTTCGGATCCATACCAGAATACCGAGCCACACTCACAGTGTATGGCTGTGGGTCAGAAATATGTACCCCAAATGGACCCTGGCAAGTGGAAACATGAACCAAAACCTGGTCCCCTGCTGGTTTAGTTTTGACCCATACCCGTATGATACTAGTGTAGAGCATCGAGAGGGAAGACAGCTAGATGGAATTGGCACGTGCGCTCCACAATGAGAACCATCATGGCAACCTTCCTCGGCAAAGTTAAAACTGTTTGCTTGCATGTGTGTTGGTTCACCAAAACGGATCGAGGGCAAAATTGCCGCCTAGCTGCCGCCTAGCGCATGTTCCAAGCTGGCTCCCGCTCTTGTCGTTGAGTGCGTCTCATCACGCTGGGCAAACATCAAAGAGCGCATGGAAAAGAACGAGGTCACAGAGTATGAAGGCCCTTTTGGGGATTCCTCGTAGACCAAATGTTTCGGTGTGAGCTGTGACGTGGGGTCGCGTCTCTTGAGAGCACCCTTTCGTGGGGCAGAATTATGTCAAGGGAAACCAATGGGAAACCACAAGGAAGCCGATTAAGTGAATTCCCCTATTCTGACACATACCCAATAGGCAGGATTATGTAAACGGAAACCACAAGGAAACCGCTCATGTGACGCATACCCAATAGAAGAGCCTGCATTGGCGCAAGGTTCTATGGGACCACGAACGGGCAGTACTCCGGGAATTGGCACAACGGCCTTCCCGGTCATCAGGCGACAACCCCCGATGTGGGAGGGTTCGCTCCGAGTAGGACCCCCAGTTGCCCAGTGGTGCCTTTTTTTTCAGCTTTTTTGCGGTAAGGGTTTCCCTTGAGAGTCAACCAACCAACGAGGATACCGTTTTTTTTCCACGACCACTGGGCATCTGGAAGACAGTTGTGTTTTGAATCCGGGGTCACAATCAATCTGGGGTCGTCGAAACGCGGGCCCTTTTTGGCATCACCAAATGGCAGCTCCGGCGTCAAAAAAAAGACACGGATCCAGAAAGTCAGATGTTTGAGAGCCTTCCAACTGATGGCCGCTTGGGCGAAGAAGCTTGCTCGACATGATGAATATCGGTGAGTGTGTGTGTGTGTGTGTTTTGACGGTACCGTTTTTGGTGTGTTTCAAAGGTAAACTGAATGGAAACCAGCCATTTTTGGGGGCTCCTTCTTGCTGGTTGCTGCTTTGGTTCTTCCCCTTGACCTTCACTAGAGCATATATTCCTGTAAGTGGAATTTCTCCAGGCTTTTTGCTTCACCAGGCGATACCCTGGACTGAGTGTTTGGTGACCTAGTTGTCCCAGAGGCCAGGAGGCCTCAAGAAACAGCTCAATTCACTCACCAGCACGCAGGACCCCCTTTTGGTAGTGCACAGTTGCCATTGAGCACTGCGTCCCAGATGTCGCATTTCGCCTAGTTTTCCCTACGCAAATCCATGTTTTGTCAAGGTGCACTGTGTCTCGCGATGTTCCAAAGTTGGCCCCCTTTTTTTGGTGGAAAGGCTTTTGCAAGGGCATCCTTATTTCCTTTGGGGCTTGGCTTTCCTGCGTGGAACGCCTTGTTGGACCGCCTTCGCTTCCCGGGCGTACACTGCGGAGAACGGCCAGGCAGCTAATCGAAGCCAGACAAGTGGCTTTTGGTTGTGAGGAGCCCTATGAGAGAAGTCCCTTTCTGGCCAGCCCTCGTTGCTCCGCTGGCTGAACTATTGTTCAACTGGTCAAAATTAGAACGACGCTCACCCATGAAGGTCCTTTACGTGGAGGGTTTCAGCATGGGATCTGTATCTGTGCAGACTTGATGACAAGAGTTTGACGCTTTGAAAGTGAGTCAAAACTCCGACCATATTCGAAGACATCATGGTTGTTGTTGGGAAACATTTTACATGTTTGCTTATTGTGGTTTAGTGGTTGAAATCCAAATCCACTTAACTGCTAAAAAAACTTTTCCCCAAACCCAACGTCAACCAAGACATGGCCGCATAAGTCTCCCGCAAAGGATGTGCAACACATTGGCTGGCCGCCTGTGAGGCGACCCATTTTGGTCTGTGCACGTTTGACAATCATGAAACATGTTCACAGCCTTGTCACTTTGGATTGTTTGGTTTGTATAGCTGGCTGCTAGGCTTGCATTTAAGACGGGATGTCTTGCAAGCTATCTTCATGCAGGCTGCTTTATATTTTCCTGAAGCATGATGTCGGTCAATCAGAGTAATTTGTTTGTTCTTGCTCCCGTTTGTGAAACCCTCGTTTAAGGAATGACTTGGGTTTCAAAATTGAGCAACCCCTAAAGGTGGTTGGTTCATTGTGGTTCCTCGTTCCAACCCCTCCAAGAGCTTATTTCCACAATTGAAAAATACCGTTGGGTGAAAGTAATTAGATGGCAAGTTTTGCAAGGTCCGTTTTGTCATCACCTTTGCTTTGCAACGGATGAACCTGCACCCTTCTCTTTCACCCTGTACTTCTTGGGAGGATGTCCTGGTTTGTCTTTGGCGGCTTGGTTTCGAGGAAGTGTTTTTGTTTTTTTTTTGTGAGGGCAGCCTTGTTGGGATTGGTTTCAAGGGATACCAAAAGGAAAGCCACCAACTGTGAGGGTTCATCTATTCAGTTGCCCAGTTGTGCCCTTTTTTCTTTTTTTGGGGACTGATTCTCTTCAAAGTCAATCATCAACCAAAAGATCTACTGTAGCCACACATGTCATCGGGGATGTCTTTGGCCCTGTCGACGTCCATTCCGCTTGCCAGTTGGGGGATGTGCCGTGCATCAGCGAGATCCTGGCAGCGCGGCCAACCATCAAGAAGCCAGCCCAGGGCCAAGAGGTCGGGCAAAACCGGGATGTGGCTGTTTTGGGGTCGGTGCACCACCCATTTTAGTCTATTTTTTAGCGGGGATTGGGAGGTTTTGGGGTAGGGGAATTCACCACCCATTTCAGAACCTATTCTAGTGGTTGGACTGGGATGTTCACTGGGGGCTAACCGATTTGGATTTTGACCCATGCCCATGTGGCGGAGGCAAGCATGCGGCCATACTGATGGACACAATCCATGTCGCACCAGTTAGGATGGATACAGCCCTACAATACTGGTGCGAAATGGAGTTTGGCCATCAGTTTGTTTGGGGCAGCATCTTGACATGGTTATTTATCGGGAATCACACATTCCCGCTTTCCGTATCACTGCGAGTTGGTTTTCTGAAGAAAAAAACTGGGCAGCAACCTATAAGATGGCTCCCTTTTCCACTGTAAGTTCTTTGGCTATAAAGAGCAAATGGGGACCCCTTCAAAGGGGTGGAAAGGCATCCCGAAATGACGTCCACCAAAGGGTCCCTACTTTCAAGCCCATGAGGCACAGCTAGTTGGTCGAGCCATGCCCATGGTGCGTTGCACATGTGGCCTCGACTGTATGACTAGTCGTTTGTTCGCGCAGTCCTTGACGTAAATGCTTGCTTCTTCGAAAGAGTACGCCTTGGGGTGTGTGTTTTTCAGAGTGCCCTTTTCTAAGATTCAAGTTGGAACGGCCCAGTGTTTTCCGAAGATCCGGAGTATCCCATTCTCCAACCTAAGGACCTACAACCTGAAGAACAGATCATGTTTTACGTGGTTGTTGTTGGAAACATCTTACATTTTTGCTTATTGTGGTTTAGTGGTTGAAATCCAAATCCACTTAACTGCTAAAAACTATCAATGTTTTGCTCCCCAAACCCAAGGTCAACCAAGCTGAGCCCGTTTTGGGGGTTCCATTTTAGGAGGCCCACAGGCCCGGCAGATCCCTTTGGATCGCCATTGTTGCTTTCTCATGGACAGCTGCAGCGGATGGGGGTTGATCAAAAGGTTTTTTTAGGATGACCATTGGGGAAGATCCACTAAAAAGACGACACGTTCCATGAAACGGGACAAGTTACCCATGGTCATTTTGGGGGCCAGGGTCATTTTGATCAACCGGCACCTGTGTTTCTTGTCGTGCCGAATCCAGCTTCCCTTCCGATGGGGCAAAGAACCAGTCCACTTTGGTTTCCTTTTGCTTACCAAGCAAACAGGGGTAGTCCCAAAAAAGACAGACCCAAATTCACTCACTCCCCGAGTTCCCATGGTTTTCCTTCCTGCCTGGCTCTTTGGCAACGGCTCTTTGGACTCCCAGTTTCCGCCATCAGTTTCCAACTCCCGCTCCCGGTGTCCAACTCCCACCTCGCCCCTTCACTAGACTTTCACTTTTCGGGAGCTGGGATTTCCATTGGACCCACAAAATGGCAGAGGGCTCCGTCCAGCTTCTGCAAGGCTTGTGCCTTTAGCCCATGGAAACTGGGCCGAGCGAGTTGTCTAACTTGAGCCACAAGTTAGACCAGGTGGTGGGATCACTCGCAGTTTGTCCACCCACTGTGATACCATGTTGGGAATCCCCTCTTTGGCGGGGTAGTCTGGTAGTCTAACCTTTTCTTGTATCACAGATTCGTGGATTCCATTTCCCACAGTTCTGAGTTAAACTGAAGACAAGCGTTGGTCCAGACTGCTTGGCCCATCCGGCTCAGGTGCGACCCATTCAGACCACTGCCTGGCCCCCGGCATGCTCGCGGTTTGGGCCTCGCGGGTAAAACGAACAGCCTAGGCCCCGTGGTTTTGATGCAAAACCGGGTGGCCCGTCTTCTTGTTGAGCTCTTTTGTTAGTTTGGTTTAAGAAAGCTAAACAAACAAAGCACCTTGTTGGGATGTCCCCCTAGCAAAAAAGACCCCCAGATCGGACTTGGGCCCCTTTTGGGTGGTGTTAAAGGGAAACCAAAAGGAAGCCGCCGAATTGCCCTGAGCTTAGGGGGGAGTTCTCCTTGGAAAGCTAGGTTTGTTTGTCAAATCACGCAAAGTAGGAAGCTGGCGTCCGTGGGTAGCGTTCACTCATGCGAGCTGCTTCAACACAGTGCCTTTCGACTTCAGCATCCCCGGGCAATGTTGGTAGATCAGGCTTCTAGCGTGCCACATCGCCCATAAGTTGTCATGTTCTCCAGTGGGAGCCAAAAGGGGATGGGTTTGTTTATGGTTGTTCCAGACTTTAGCATCATTCTTGAGAGGTCGAACAATGGTGTTGCTTTGGGCAGGAGTTCCTCGTTGAGTCCTGTGACAAGTAAACTGGACCTAAGGCATTCTTGCGCTGAGTCGTGGCCGCAAGCTGCCACTACGAGGGGGACAAACTGCAGGCCCTGCGCCACGGCACTGAGCCTCGGCCGCGCCGCTGGCGGCGGTTGTTCTTAGAAACGAGCCGGTGTCCGAGCACGCCCGGTTGATCCCAATTGCCTTGCCCCTTCTCCTTTCTCTTCTCGTTGTCTGGGCCCAACTTTTTACACTTGTGGCGCGCAGCGGGGAAACCGCGCGTGTCCGTTTGAAGCTCTTGCAGCCCGGCGCCGGCGCTTGGCCGCGCTCCCTATACGGGGTCTGCCCCGTTTGCGGCCGGCTCGTTGCTCCTTCCGATGGGTGTGCCCACCTTGCGGCGGTCTGGCAGACGGCGTGCCCTTGCGGGTGTCACCGTGCCGAGCCTTCTTGCCCTGTGTTTTGGCTGCACGCAGCCGGGGAGACTTTGGCCCCTGCCCTGTTCTCTGCCTTCCGGCAACTGCCCGAGTCCGAAAGTCAATAACTCATCAGATCCACTGCCACAGCAGAGGGCAATTTTGGTTTTGAAGGCTTAAGGGCCTTAAAGGGTGCTAGCGCTGCTCGCCGAAAAGTCGTCCTTCCTTCTTTCAACCAGAAAGGCCGCGATGGATCGCCCAGCCTTTTTAATTAAGCAAGGGGCGTGACATATATATATATATATGTATAATAATATATCTCTATATATATATATAATTCTCCCCTGATCATGGGATTACGTGCTTCAATAGCACTCCGCAACCCCATAGCTTAGATAGTTTTGGCTCTGACAGCTCCCTTTTGACATTCATGCAGGAACACCCGTGATGGCTGCGGTGCAAGGCCAAGTGCGTCTTGGCGAACCAGATCGCAGAGGAACGAAGAGTCATGCAAGCTGACAAGGCCAGGAACTCGATGCCTCGCGTCGGGTAAAGTGAGGCTCGGACTTTGAGTGCGGGTCACGGGAATCTGAGGGTCATGGAACTCTGGAAGGGGCACTGGGCGGGGGGGGTTATTTGTGGATATGCCTAGGATAAGCCCTGAATAAGGCCTTGGGGATGGCACCCCTCCCCATAGACCCCCTTAAAATCCAGAAGGGCTTGAAAAGGGGAAGTGCTCTTTGGTTCGTTGGGCTACATGGAAGAAGAACCCAACCCCCCCACTCTTTTAAAGATTAGTTCACTGGGCTTCAAGAGGGCAACCCACATTTCTTCCGCTTAACCGTATTTTGACATATGACGTCAACTCGGGAACGCCCTCAAGCAGGTTTGAGTGCGAGAAGTCCGGATGTACATGTCCACCAAGGGTCCCCAATTCAACATTGCAACCATGTCAGGCCACTTGGCATCGAAGGAATGAGTTGTGTGGTGGACAGTTTTGGCTAAACTCCTTGAAGCGAATGGTCTTGAAACACGTTGCATCCTATGATTGGGTAACATAAAGCTTTCTTCAAAAGCAGCAAGTTTCGTTCTGAAACACTACTGTTGAACATTTGTTTGGAGATGTTTGGAGCTGCCAGACTCGCCATGCTCAGTCCTCCAAATTCAATGGTTGTGTTTGGTTGTTTGTATCCTTTTTGTTTTTTCGAAGGGTTCCTATCATGAAGGGCCAACGTGGTTATGTAGAATCGTTATATACAATATGACTGCGTGTCCTTTTTAGAGAGGCCATGCCAAATTACCCGACAAAGGATGCCCACGTGAGAGCGTACCCGTTCTTTCCACGACGTAAGTTTGCACACGGACTCTCGACACGACATGGGCATGGTGCTTTGCCGGGCTTGCCTGGGCGCAGATGTTTGAGGCTAAACATCATCCTGCGAGAACTGACTCAATTTTAGCAGCCAGGCTCAGAATTTGGAACACATTGAGATAGGAGTCCTTATCGTTCCGGCTTTGGAAGGGTGACACATGACAGCTTCATGGCAACGCAAAGACTTTGCCATCACATGGTGCAATATTTGGCCGGGAACATACTGATAGTGGAATCTGTTGATGGGCAACCAAAAAACGTATCGCCAATCAGTTTGCGGATTGAAAGACGCTGAGGGCCCAATGCAAACAAATATATATATATATATATATATACATGCGTGTCTGTGTTTTTTTGGGGGGAGGGACCCACGAAATGGTTGGCTTCCCTGTTGGTTTCCCTGTAAAACCAACCACAAGGGGATAGCCTCGAGAAAAGAGACACCCATTTCTGAATGTCCCTCTGGCAACAAAAGGGAAACCTCAGATTCCGGGCTGCTCAAGCTGATTATGGTAGAACAGGGGTGCCATTTTTTCTTGGTCCTCGGGCAGCATCCAGTCACTTCCTGAGTTCATGAATTTTAGTCACTGCTTGGGCTTGGACCATTTTAGTGGCTTAGACAAGAAGTTCCAGGACTTTTTGTTGGCCAGCCCACTCAGGAAGTGAGAATTAGGGTCTTAGTCACAGGTGTCCTTCGGTGAGTTTGATAAATAGATAGTACTGGTGTAGATTGGTTTGACTAAACATGAGCACAAAACAAACCCCATCGAGAGTTGTCCAAGTCAGGTCATGGCTACTTCGGGTCTTCAGATACTTTGACCCCGTGACTCCTTTGGAGTACCTGGAATGTAGCTGACTGCTTTGGTTTCCTCCCTGTACCCGGAGCTACCGTCCTACCCTGAGGTGTGAACAAGTCTGGCAACCTCTCGGGATCATTCCATTTAGGTTTCGGAATTAGAGTTTTGCAGATGACCCAAATCCTTGAAATCCAGACAAGAGATAACCAAGGTGCACTATGTTCCACTTCCTTTTCGTGGCCTGCTTCTTCGCGCAACCTGCTTAAGTACGTACATTGGCAGGACCTGTAGTACTTCAAAGAACACATCTCCTTTATCTTTGGCACTGAGCGGTTTGCGGCCAGTCAGCAAGTTACTTGTTTAGATCTTTCGCACTTGCGTAGTGTGGAATCTTGGTGTTTTTTTCTTCTGGATCTTGAAAGCGAATTCGGGAAGGCACAGCTCTTTCGTATCTTGGTAGAGCAGAGATGAACCAGAATTTGAACCTCTTTGTTGAAGAGCACCCCGAATACCCCCGACAAACCAGGTGCTGTCCGCGGATGTGGTGCCCAAAAAGTTCCCGGTGCAGGCGGGAGCTTCTGACCGCTGAGCCCCGAATCGACGGATTCGTGTGCCGGGGGGGGGGGGATGGTTGTTGATAGGAAACATTTTACATTTTTGCTTATTGTGGTTTAGTGGTTGAAATCCAACCACTTAACTGCTAAAATTTAGATTTTTGCTCCCCTTCCAACTTCAACCAAGGGGGTGATAAAAAGTTTCCAACTTTTGGGCAGGAAGCAAAAGGCAAGACAAAAGTTGAGCTCCCATTTTCATGTCGGACCTGCTTCAGCTCAAAGAGTCGAATCAAGAGTGGCCAAGACACGACACGGAAGCTCACCGTCTAGCCCTTGAACAATTAGGTGGTCATGCAGGCCTTGGAAGCCACTCAGCTTTCAACTTAGGACAAGGGCGAGAGAATTGTTGAAAACGATGTTGGGTGTTGGCTTAGATTGTTGCTCGCCCAGTTTGCTTGGGTAAACCCAGGTTTTGCCGGAAAGGGACACACAATCCAGCGGGACATGGATGCGCTGGCTCGATGTGTGTGTCTTTTGCACTCATTAGTGCGGGCGAAACTTTGTCGATCTGACCAATTCAACGTTCCAGTGGATATTTTGAGTTGGTTGTTAGCTTCTGAGAGCTGACAAGCAGCCTGTTGCGTTCAGGGGATTTCGGCCTGAGTTTTTTCGTGCTCTTTTCTGGCGGTGCAAGGGTGACGTTTTTCCCATGTTGGGTTCCATGGAGGCGTTTGAGCGCCATGATAGGTGCCTTGCCATTGGGATTGGGTGCTCAAAATGGGTGCATGGCCTAGACTCCTGACTTTGTCTCTTTTTTTTGTTGTTTTTCCTTCTTTTTGTTCCTTTTTTTTCCGGTAGAAACCGCCAAAACAAGGGCAGGTTGGGGCCCTCCGAGCTCACATCCGATTTTCCAGTGTCAAGCTTTGTCATTAAGTTTCGGTCGGGAGCTCTCGTGGGATCGGTGAGGACTCGAAACCGCAAGCCGTTCTTGTCGGCAACTTATCCAGAGCGGGAGACCGGTTCTTGGCCCTTGGTTCTAATAATGCTTGCTGGCCTCTAGCAGTCGGACCCTAGGTGTAACCAACTCACATGCTCAAGGCCTCACTGTTTCAAGCCTTGAATTGAACACCGGTTCTTTCACAACATAGACCTGTCAGAGTCATGTTGGGAGTGGCCGCATGTGCATGTATGTGTGCTTGTGTGTGTGTGTAAGTCGGGCACTCATTTCGGAGCACAGAAAACCCTAACGGCTTAGACTTCCCACGCTTTGACGCCAGCATCGGCAGGCGCAGAACTACTGCTATCCTCCCAGCGGGAAACAAGGAGACGCGTAGGGCGGGCACATGCCAGAGCCATGCGAGAGCCCAAAGGTCAAGCCACTGGAAGCTACGAGGCAGATTCGTGTTCTAAGGGTTGTTCTTTTGGTTACCTGCAAAACAAGGGAAAATTCAGGTTCAGCAAATCCCTTCTTGGCATTAAACATGGTCACACCCCGAAAGGAAAAGGGTTTCATGTTTGTCCGGCGCACGAGTTGCTGGGAAACTGGGCGCGCCAATTTTAACCAGCTTAACGACCGATGGGGAGCGATGCAAGGACCAGTGATGAAGGTTCTTCGGACTTGCGAGTTCAGGTTCGCGTGTCTAATATGAATGAGAGGAGTTTGTCCTGATGGTTACTTTGGGCCCACACACGCTGGCAAGGATTGGGGGTCGAACCGCGAACCTTTCTCAACAAAATCAGTCATTTTGGATCCAATTCCGTTGCTCAACAAGCGGCGGTGCCAGTTAGAAGCGCACCAAAACAAAGAACCCCCCAATAACAAAGAACAAAACAATCAACAATATAAACATTAAAGCAAACAACGTGATAAACATGGGTCGCTTCCCTTCGAGTTTAACGTGCAGCTCAGCGATTTTTTAGTTTTTTCTGGATGCCTCGCCCACTTTTTGCTTCCGGACACGAGGAGCGAACAACCCGCTCTATGCTACCAGCTCACAGGCGGGCGGGGAGTGCGTGTGGCCAATTGACCCCAAATCTGAGCCATGCTTCTGGACTGGCTGAAAGTGGACTGGCTTTTTGAGGGCTTATGAAAGCTTCTTGTAGCGTTCTTTTCAAGCCACGTTTCGCCGGCAATGTTGAAGCCGTGAATGGACCCAGGCTGGGCATCTGACATGGCCAGGTCGACCCGAACATTTAAACCTGGCTGGCTCCCAGCCATCCCCTGAGCCTCTTGCATGGCTGTTGGGACACATTTTGACCATTTTTGCTTATTGTGGTTTAGTGGTTGAAATCCAACCGCTCAACTGCTAAATTTTATTTTTTTGCTCCCCTTCCAACGTCAACCAAGCATAGCTTTTCAGGGTTTAGTGGTAGTTTCCACTACACCACCAAGAGTGTCCGCCCTTTAGCAGGGGATCTGGGAGCAGCGCAAAGAAAGTCAAGGGCTTCTTGGCTTCAAGCTTCGGATCGGAACTCAAAACGCCCGTTGAAGCCAAGACGCCCCTTTGGAAGGGTTTGGGGCGACCCGTTTTTTTTTCTTTTTTCTGGGACTTCTGGAGGTTGAAATGGTCCTTGGGATCTGCACCATTTCATTTCAGGAAGGTCAGGGGGCCGCGGCCGCTGGCTGAGATTGGGCTTTTTATGAGCCATGTACCAGGGAAATCCATCTAGGTGTCCAAAAGGCTGCCAGGGTGGGCATGATTGTCCACCCGCTATTCAGCAGACAGAGACATGAGCAGCTCATGATTTATTTTAAATAAAAATAAAAATTACTTCGCTTCGAGCAATCCCCACCCTCCACACTCACGAGCTTACGACCGTGAACACGGGCATGGTTTTCGAGTGGCTTGGGGCGTATGACTGCTCGACAAGCTTTGCGTTGAGAGCCTTGTCCACCTGTCTGTGTGTCAAACTCCACTTGTCTGCGGGCCGATCTCGAGAACTCAAACATCGGTTCCGTTAACAACAGCCAAGCCCCTTCCAAAAGAAATCCGGCGGGGGATTAAACGAAGTTGCTTATTCACAACCCAAAGCGGCACAAAAGCATCACCCTTTCCGAGCCTCAGGGTACACTCAAAACACGAAGGCACCAACATGAAATGTAAACCCAACTGTGCGCCGAGCGGGACATTAAGCAAAACCAGACTGGCGAGCTGCTCTGGCGGGATACTGGCGGGATTCACTGGCGGCGAGCCGCTCCGGCTCGATACTGGCCGGATACTCGGCAGGATCCACCGGGAAAGAAAACTGAGCGGGACACTCGGCGGGATCCACGGGCTGTTCTACTCTGGCGGGATACGGGATCCACTGGCGAGCTACTCTGGGATACTAGCGGGCTGCTCTGGTGGGATACTCGGCGGGATCCACTGGCGAGCCGCTCTGGCGGGACACTCGGCGGGATGCACTGACGAGCCGCTCTGGCGGGACACTGGCGAGCAGCTCTGGCGGGATGCTGGGCGGGATCCACTGGTGAGCAGCTCTGGCGGGATACTCGGCGGGATCCACTGGCCTGGCGGGATACTCGGCGGGATCCACTGGCTAGCTGCTCTTGCGGGATACTGGGTGTGGGCGCGGTGTAGAAGCATCGCAAACGCGGATTCCAACATCAAATCTAACAACCCCTTCCTGTCGGGTGGGGAAAAATGTGAGGTACATACACGCTTGTCACTTGTCTTCAGGAGGAATTGTGCACCGACGCGTCGTGGCTTCTTTCTAGTAGGAGCACGCACAAAAACTGGCATCCTTGAAATTGCCGCATAGCTCAGTGGGGAAGAGGGGACGTTCGTACATCAAATTGCCATGGCTCGTTGATTCAAGCATCAGGGTAGTTGAATTCCGCAATGCAGCAGGCCACGCAGGAAGCGGTTGAATGCTGTTCTGGGCCAATCAGAAGTAATTCTCACTTCCTGAGTTCATGAACTTTAAACTTGTTGGGAAGATTATTTTAGTTGTAAATATAAACTTCGGACTTTTTTTTGGGCCATCCACTCAGCAAGTGAGAAGTTGGTGTGTTTCTTTTAGGGAGCCAGGGAAAATCAAAGGAAAACCATCATGTCAGGGGTCCCCTAAAACAAGACGTGGTCCCGGCTGGACTACGCACAGTTCGCTCCTCCTCGCTTGCGCCTATTCCAATGCTTTATTTGCGCAAAGTATGTCGCAAGTTCGAACACAACCGCGCGTTTGTTATTTAGCGCAGTCACGCAATGTGTTTAGGAGTACATCCATTCATCCCACACCCTTTCTATGGCAATAGTTTGGATCCTGCGAATCCTCAGGTGTTTTCTTTCCAGACAGTCAAAAAGATCTGAACTGCATCAACTTACAAGATGACTGGTAGTCCAGCGTTCGGTTGGGGAGGACATTGGACGGAACACCCAAATTTCAAACACACAAAAAAAAGGAGGAGCCCAACTGTTCCCATGTCCTGGGGTGTTACGAGCCATTTTCTCTCCGGCTCGCATCCCACCCTTCCATTTGGCCCATGGACCTTCGTGCGTCTCGCGGCTGGATGCCTGGCAGGCATACGGCAGCGAAATGCCTCTAGATCATCAGGCGCGGCGGTGCTGTGACCCTTTGAACGGGTTCCATCACCAATGTCTACCCAGAGCCTCCAAAGGTTGCTCAACTTCTGGTTGTGTTGAAACATGGCTGGTTTTCTTTCAATCCATTCGGCAAACGACCATTCTTTCGCTCACAACCTAAAACAAATGCAGCTCCAGCAGGTCGGAGGTAGGAACTTGAAGAGTTGGAACCGTCCAGCCTCAAGAGCACTGCAAGCGCTTGAGATGTCTTGCTTTCAAGCATTGTCCAGGTATCGTGGGAACGTACTTATGGGAGTGCAGTATGCAAGAGCAGGTTCCAAATAGATCCATGGTCCTTGGCTCTAAGCTAGTGAGAGACCTCTAAGATTGGGCGACCCGGTGCTGCCATTTTTTGCGTCCTGCGAGACTGCGCTTTCTCAGTCCGGTTCCTTTCGGATGAGATCCATAGATCCTGTGCAAGCTGTCGGACCCGGCTGGTCCTCCAACTGAGCCACAATCAAAACCGATTCGGGTAGATGAAGGTTCGTAAGGGACAATCCCAACCATAAATAGTTGCGGATATCCGCCTTTGTATTTCCTGAAGCATGGTTCTGGGTCGACCATTTTAATACCGGGTTTTGATTGTGACTCAGCTTGTGCTCGACACTGGCGAGCTGCCACATTGTACGCGAGGTACCCTGAGGTCTGACATGGAACCTGGGCACAGCTGAGACTCAAAGAGTTTTGCCTTGGTAAGGGGTATGTAGCGGGTATAGTGGGACAAAGTAAGGGTTCATTCACAAGGGCCCATTCTTTTTTACCTAGAGATGTGAGAATAGATGAGGACTCGAATGTTTGCCATTTGATTTGGGACTCATGTTCAATTAGTCCCAGAAAAATTGCTCAACTGCCTTCTTCTGCAAACTAGTCTTGTTGCTGTGCGTCCAGCTGTTGCCACCAACGTCATTCACAGCACTCGCCTTCTGTTGCAGACAACTGTGCAGATCAGAATGCTCCTATGACAAGATGGACAGGGACAAAGCATGTTCACATGGGCTGGAATAGGCAGACGCGAGTTGCCGTCTAACATCCAACGTGTTGACCGCTCGAACCCTTGGCAAGGAACACGGTACGAATCAAGCGTGTGAAGCAGTCGGGAAGAATGTTCCTAGGCGTTTGGCTTTGTGTCAGATCCGGGAGATGATGCATGAAGCACTGACTGGTAGGTACGCTAATTTGGCTTCACAAGATTCCTGGCACGTCGCCTGCAACTGCGTTTCAGAACACGAGCTCATTCAATCGGTGGTGGGGGTTGGTGAAATTTGGGGCTTTGAACCTCAGTTTCTGTTGAAGCCAAATGATAGCATTTTTTCCTACGTCCAAACCGCGAAGCCAAATCACCAATTCATTGTCAGATGATTCAAATGGCGACAGCTTCACTTGGAAAGGTGCCTGACCGCTACTTCCCCAGCACCAACCTCTTCACCAAGGCCCGCTTGTGACGTTGACTTCGAACCGTGGAAATCGCAGTCGCTCAAGTTCTGGGCTTTGAACGTGGGTTTGGACCATTTGGGTGCGTCTTTTGGTTGTCCTGTAAACGCCCCCAAAATCGGTACCAGCAAAGCGACATGCCCACTTGGTGCACAACACATCCAGTTTGGATGTCTTTGTTGGCTGTCAGGAAGAGAGAGAGAGAGAGAGTACGGGCCCGTGTGTAAAAGAACCACCTTGCAACAAGCAGGCAAACGCCTCCATGTTGACCTATGTCAGGAACCTCATCATTAAGAATTTCGACCTCTTCTGCGTCTCTGACAAGTCGTTGAACCCGAGCCTGAAACTCCTCGAGTACATGGGAATCCGCCACACCGAGCCGGATTTCGCCAACTACCGCTTATCAAGCTGATCGGTTGAGCGATTTTCCATTTCAAGAAGTACAGCTGGATCTTCTGGGAAATGATGATGGAAGCAAGATAAGGGATGCGGATAGCACGAGAAGCACAGAGATGTCAAGACGTCTCCAGAAGATTGCAACGAGCCATAGGCCATTTGGAATCAATGGGTATGGAGTCCCTAGGCCCCAAGTCCATAAAATTCCGTTTTAGGTTAAGTTGACAAGAAATAATGGCACTGCCTATTGGTTTGAAAGGGCTGGTGCGAAGTGGATTTTGTCCATCAGTCCGGTCAACATTTCACAGGCCTGAGACCTCATGATTAATATCACGTGTGGGCCCCAAAATTGAAGCCCCAGAAGACCACAAGACTTCGTCCTTTCCGTTTGCCAGACGGCAGCTCGTGTTTTTTTTGGTACCCATGTTCCTCCATTTGCAGAAATGAGTATGTGTTTGACTTTCTCTTTTTGGTTTTGCAGGAAAATGTTTTCCAGGGGGCTTCCATTTTCTGAAAAGATATTTTGTGTTATGTTCCCTTGGTTTTGGACATAGTTGCTATTTTTTCTCTAATTTTGAACATATTTGCTCAATTGTCTCTTGGTTGTGGACATATGTGCTCATGTTTCCCTAGGTGTTGGACATATTTGCTCATTGTTCTCTTGGTTTTGGGCATATTTGCTCATTGTTTCCCTTGGTTGTGGACATATTTGCTCATTGTTTCCCTTGGCTTTTGGACATATTTGCACATTTTCCATGGTTTTGGACATATTTGCTCATTTAGTCCGTTGTTTTTGGACATATTTGCTCATTGTTCCCCTTGGTTTTGGGCATATTTGCTCATTGTTTCGCTTGGTTTTGGACATATTTGCACATGTTTCTATTTGCAAATTGTTGCTCTGGTTTTGGACATATTTGCTCACTCATCGTTTGTTCACTTAAAAGCAAACAAAAACAACACATGGCCGCGGGTCAAGTGGAGATATGAACAAATTCGCATCTGCGGTCCCGTGGTTGCTTAATTTTAACCCTCAGCCAAGTGGAAGAGTTCGTGGCGAGGCCTTCGTGGACACGAAGCCCAGATTCACGGGGCTCAGCACCGCGGCGACGCCCTCCAAGGCGGGAGTCGGGGGTCTGGCGCTCGGGCGCTCGGGCGCTCGGGTCGCGGGCGCTCAGCAACCTGGAAACCATCGGGGTAGAGTTCCAGGGGTTCAACATGAATCTTTTTTCTTTTTTCTGGTGTTTTTGTAGGTATGACCTGTTCATGGGTTTTTGTGGCTCTCGGTACCCTCAAAGTTCTAGGGGTTGTTTCTTTGTCCATTCTGTTCAACCATCGTTCTTTTTCAACCGGGTTTCTGGAGGTTTTCTAGAAAGAAGGATCCCTGGAAAGAATGGGGGAGATTGGGGGAGGTACCTAGAAGAGTGGAGCTTTGAGCTACCCGGGGCTTCAAAGACACAACTGGAAAGAGAAAAAGCGGCCTGAAACACAGGGTGGTGTTTTGTTTGTTCTTGTTCATCGGCTTTTGAGGCTCCTGGTAGTTTGGTTATAAGAAAGTGAGACTGGGGCTACTAAAAGAGAGCTTTCCACCTTAGCACAGGCACCCTCCCGATAAGAACAGGTGCAGCGCAAGGGTCTGTCTGCACGGTTTCTGGGGGAACCTCTTGGCAGGAAAGCCAAAGGGAACCACCACCCCCATTTCAGAGGGTCCCTCGCCCACTTGATCGAAAAGTCCCCTCTGGGTGTGCATGTCATGTCGTCCTGTTATTTTTGGTTTGGTTTGCGTATGCCTTTTGGGGATGCGTGGAGGGAAGCCAAAAGGAAACCATCGATTTAGAGCTTTATTTTTCGAGACAATCCCACAGATTCTCTCTCACTCCTTTTCCAACATGTTTGCTTCTCGAGCCCCACGAGGGCATGATGCGTTTTCAAAGTCGGCTGAAATGCACTGGCTGGCAGCTAAGGAACGAAGCCAAATATGCCCCTCAAAATAGCACCCGCAAGAACACAGACAGCTGCCCAAACTGATGGTGTGGTGCTTGAATCGTCGAAGGAAGTTTGGTGGCACAACTAGGGTAAGAAAACTTCAACTCCAGAGAACCGGGAATGTGAGACTAGGCAATCAAACATAGCAAGCAACATAGAACTCATGCCTTTGCGAGGTTTGAAAGTCTCTGAGTTTGTTGAGAGCCAGGTCCTGGGTCCAGGCTTCATGTGCAAACAGAGAGGCCCTAGCCACCGGCCACGGAACTAAAGGAGGTTGTTGAGACAATCCGCTTCGCACCAGGTCGATGGTTTCACCCATGCGAAATGCGTTTTGTTTTCTTGTTGTTTTTCCCTTTGTTCGGCTTTTTGGCGTCCAAGAATTGGAAGAATCCCCATGCACGTTTTTCTTGAAGTGTTTCATTGTAGCCCACTCTCGGAAAGACGCGAGACGAGAAGCCCTCGCACGTGGAAGTCTGACCGAGAGATGTTCCCTAGCTTCACCAAAATGAACTCGGTCCAGACGGTCCATCTTGGTTGGAGGCTGAGGGGTGAAAAATATAACTATTCCCTGCCACAACAACTGCTTTTTGTCCTCCAAACTCCCAAGCCGTGCACAAATCAGTGGTTGGACTTACCAGCAATCCAACTGATGCCTGATTCGCGAGGATTGTTGGTCTAACATGGTTTCCAGGAAATGCATTCTTATCTCGGTTTGAATCGATGGGCTGATATGTGTTGGTACATGACCCATGTTTTACGTGTTTTACGGGTCATTACGCGAGGTATGGGCGGCGAAGGTCAGATTCAACCCACAGTCGGGGGTTGTCAAAATTTAGGGCCCTCTCTGGTTTGCCTTCTTTCAAAGGCGGAACCTAGCGGCACCAGGATCAAGGCGCACATTTTTTTGGACAATCCCCAAGTGGAAGCCACTCGTTGCACCCGTTCAGGTTCACAAGGCGGGGACGGATGGATCGCTTGGTCGCCGGTTTCTTGGTTCGACCCGGTGGACAGTTTCCTCGAGGTTGAAGCGGGACGGCAAGTTCTCCCATGTGACTCACTTCAATGAGTGGACTTCTAGCTAGTTGGGTCTGGACCATTTCGTTTCGGAAACACAAAGTTTAGCCTTTTTGTTGGTCAGGAAGCGAGACAACTCTGATTGTTGGCGAGGTAGATCATGGCCGCTGGGCTCTTCCTTGAAAAAGCATGCGACTTTTTTTGGAGGTCCAAACCACAGCACTGAAGGACGTTACTTTTCTGGGCAGGAGAATGGAGAACTTTCCCAACAGGAAAACTTTCTTTTCTGAAGGACCACAGCAGGAGCCGGAATCAACCCCCAGCTGCTTTTCCCTGGGAGATCCCAGCCCCAGGAGGCATAGGGCAGTCTTTGTCCCATCCTAGAATCCCATTGGCGCCCTGTTTTGCTTTTTTGGGGGATGGATCGCCTTTCCGCGTGAAACCGTGCCATATCATATCATACTATGTTGGCCAGTGAAGAGGCTTCCTTGGCGAACCCAAGGCACAAGTCCCCACCTGTCAAGGATGGGCACAGCCCGCCGTTTTGAACAGCCCGGATAATATGAGCATCTTTCAATGGAGGCACACATATACCCCAATGCATGGCAGTGCGTCAAGTTT